ATATTGTTTGTAGTTACTTTTTACTTTTCAAGGGTGAACTGCTTATTTTTAATAAACGAATATCTGTTTATACTTTTCCCCTGGTTTCGGTCACAGTGTTCAATTATAAGAGCTTTCAATGGAATGTTGAACAGGAGAATATAAAAACAAATCTGCCAAATACACTAGAGAGCATTTGAATAGAAGTGCTGGTTCCTATTTAAAACATTTCTCTTTGCTGTATATACCAAAATAGATGGGAGTAAAAGATGCCTTAATATTTAATTTTTGTATTGTTAGAGACAATGGTTTAAAGAAATTCCTATTTATTTAATATTTAATTTTGTATTGTAAGAGAAAATGGTTTTAAGAAATTCCTATTTATGTATTTTTAGTTGTTTGTAACTGAGGTCTTCTAAATGGTTTAATATAAAACCACAATTCTAGTCTTGCTTCTTTTCAAGTATCCAAATGTATTTCTCAGCATCTTTAAAATAATAGACTTAGAAGTCTTTCAACTGCTGAACTGTAGTACATGCTTATTTTTTAAAAAAATCATTAACAGAGGAAACTATTGGTGTAGTTTTACCAGCAAGTTATTGATATGTATGTGTGATTCACAGTGATTCTGTATGTGCTCCCCAGCTATAAGAACACATAGGATGGACTTACCTGGTGGTGCAGTGGCTAAGAATCCGCCTGCCAATGCAGGGGACATGGGTTCGAGCTCTGGTCGGGAAGACCCCACGTGCTGCAGAGCAACTAAGCCCGTGTGCCACAACTACTGAGCCTGAACTCTAGAGCCCACGAGCCACAACTACTGAAGCCTGTGCACCGCAACTACTGAAGCCTGCACGCCTAGAGCCCATGCTCCGCAACAAGAGAAGCCACCGCAATGAGAGGCCCGCACACCACAACGAAGACCCAGCGCAGCCAAAAATAAATTAATTAATTTTAAAAAACACAAAAACCACATAGGACTACTACAGTGGTATCTGGAAGGGTTGATTGTTGGTTCCTCAAGTCACAGTTATGCAGCTTGGGTCTGAGTTTTTAAAGAATAGCTAACTTTTAAAGAAGTTTCCTTAGCAAAAGAGCAGTTGAGTTGTGACCATGGTTTTTACTGGGCTAACGCTGGCTTCAGTTAAATCGTTTGAATTATGAAGTAAGTATAATTATGGTGAAGAAGTTCAGCCTCATTTTCAAATGCTGAATCACATTTTATTTCTTGAATTAATATGATATAAACATTAAAATTCAGGACCATTGGAATATGTTGATTTGTTTGCTTGTTTTTTTAAAGAAATTGCAACTGCTACATTTGCTAGTGGAAGAAAATGGTTTTGCTCTGAAGATTCTGAAATTGTTCAGGCTTATCATGGTTCATAGATTACAAAGAATAATGCTAGTTAAATGCCAATGAACTACTTTTACTCTTTTTATATGAAATGTATAAATTTCGGAGGTGGGGTGATGGTGGCAGTGGTGCCTCTTACTACCTTATGTGAAACAGTTGAACATTCTCATCAATATTGCCATCATCATCAATATCTCATCAGTACTGCCATCATCATTTTCTAAGTTTGTTTACTTAAAATTGTATGGAATGACACAATTAATAAGCAATAAAACCTCTATTACACACATACAAAGAAATATAGGGAATTCTTGGGTAAGGGATTTGACTAGGTAACTAAGAGTCCTTCCAACTTAGGTTCTATCAATAAATGATTCTAGAACTCTAACATGGTATGATTCTAAGACTGTGATTCCAAAATTTTATTAGGACAAGAGACAATCCCTAACTTCAGAGAATTCACAATCTAGTAGATGAGGTGAACAAATAGTGACTTTTCATAATTGTAATAAACACTCCTATAGATTAGATGCAAGGCTTGGCAGGATGTGGGAAGGAATGCTTACTGAGCCACGGCTGTTTCCTCAAGGCTGGTCTCAAGAACCACTTGAATCACAATCTCTCCAGAAGCTTTTTTTTTTTTTTTAAATGCTAATTTCTGGGCTCTAGTCCAGATCTCCTGAATCAGAACCTCTGGAGTGGAACCCAAAAGTCTACTTCACTTAAAATAAAGGCCAAGGTGATTCTTAGGTAGACTGAAATTTGAGACTGCCTGCTCAGAGTCAGGATGACTCCCCTGAGAGATGATATCCAGACAGGAAAAAAAAAAAAAAAAAAGTAGCTGGGTCAAAATATGAAACTACAAAAGTCACACAGAAGTAACATGTTTTTTCTGTCTCTTTGCTTTTGTCTTTTTTTAACATCTTTATTGGAGTATAATTGCTTTACAATGCTGTGTTAGTTTCTGCTTTACAACAAAGTGAATCAGTTATACATATACATATGTTCCCATATCTCTTCCCTCTTGCATCTCCCTCCCTCTCATCCTCCCTATCCCACCCCTCTAGGGGGTCACGAAGCACCGAGCTGATCTCCCTGTGCTATGCGGCTGCTTCCCACTAGCTATCTATTTTACGTTTGGTAGTGTATATATGTCCATGCCACTCTCACTTTGTCACAGCTTACCCTTCCCCCTCACCATATCCTCAAGTCCATTCTCTAGTAGGTCTGTGTCTTTATTCCCATCTTACCCCTAGGTTCTTCATGACATTTTTTTTTCTTAAATTCCATATATATGTGTTAGCATACGGTATTTGTCTTTCTCTTTCTGACTTACTTCACTCTGTATGACAGACTCTAGGTCCATCCACCTCACTACAAATAACTCAATTTCGTTTCTTTTAATGGCTGAGTAATATTCCATTGTGTATATGTGCCAGATCTTCTTTATCCATTCATCTGTCGATGGATGCTTAGGTTGCTTCTATGTCCTGGTTATTGTAAATAGAGCTGCAGTGAACATTCTGGTACATGACTCTTTTTGAATTATGGTTTTCTTAGGGTATATGCCCAGTAATGGGACAGAAGTAACATGTTTTGATGAAGATTAGCAATTTTGTACAACATTCCCTCCATGTGATAGGTCTTTTTTTATTTTTTATTTTGTTTTTATTTTTGTTTTTTGCGGTACACGGGCCTCTCACTGTTGTGGCCTCTCCCGTTGCAGAGCACAGGCTCCGGACGCGCAGGCTCAGCGGCCATGGCTCACAGGCCCAGCCGCTCCGCGGCATGTGGGATCTTCCCAGAACAGGGCTCGAACCTGTGTCCCCTGCATCGGCAGGCAGACTCCCAACCACTGTGCCACCAGGGAAGCCCAGGTCTTTTTTAAATGACAGCACTTCTTAGATATAATCTGAGATTCTGTGATTGAGGGTATATGCCTCAGATGTCCTACCTAGAACAGATTTCTTTTTAAATTTAAATTTATTTTCTTTTCTTTTTTTTAATTAATTAATTAATTTTTGGCTGCGTTGGGTCTTCATTGTTGTGGGCGGGTTTTCTCTAGTTGTGGTGAGCGGGGGCTACTCTTCGCTGCGGTGCAAGGGCTTCTCATTGCAGGGGCTCCTCTCGTTGTGGAGCACAGGCTCTAGGCGCACGGGCTTCAGCAGTTGCGGCTCGCTGGCTCTAGAGCACAGGCTCAGTAGTTGTGGCACATGGGCTTAGCTGCTCCACGGCATGTGGGATCTTCCCAGAACAGGGCTCGAACCCGTGTCCCCTGCATTGGCAGGCGGATTCTTAACCACTGTGCCACCAGAGAAGCCCTAGAACAGATTTTTGTTTGCAAGGGAGCCAGAGCTGGCCTCAGTTTTTTGTTTTTTTTTTTAAATTTACTTATTTTATTTATTTATTTTTGGCAGTGTTGGGTCTTCATTGCTGCACACAGGTTTTCTCTAGTTGTGGCGATTGGGGGCTACTGTTCACTGCGGTGCGTGGGCTTCTCATTGCAGTGGCTTCTCTTGTTGCAGAGCACGGGCTCTAGGCATGCGGGCTTCAGTAGTTGTGGCATGTGGGTTCAGTAGTTGTGGCTCACGGGCTCTAGAGCACAGGCTCAGTTGTTGTGGCACACAGGCTTAGTTGCTCCACGGCATGTGGGACCTTCCCAGACCAGGGATTGAACCCATGTCCCCTGCATTGGCAGGCGGATTCTTAACCACTGCGCCACCAGGGAAGTCACCTCAGTTTGTTATTAACTATCCCAAGGCCGGAGGCTGGCAAAGAGGGCTCTGATAAGGACTCCCCACAGAGTCCCTGAGAGCTATTCCCTGCCACCGTCCACTCCCTTGCCCATGGCCTCCTGGTCCTCATTTCCCAGCTGTCCCTGGATGCTTCTCTTCTCTGGAACCTGCAGTGTCCCCAGCAAGGAAGAAACGGCTTGAGTAAGGGCCTGGTGGCCATAAAGTGAAGGGTATTCAGGGACAGGGAGCAGCGTGGTGTGGCTGGACACCAGTTGTCTGGGCATGTGAAGGACTGTTGAGACTTGGATGAAACATTGGCCGAGGTTAAGGGGAGAGAGTGGCCTAGTGGCTTCTGAGTCTGAGCTCTGCCAGTGACTTCCTTAGTGAGCCTGAGCAAGTCTCCTTCCCCAAACTGGGCCCCTTCCCCAAACTGCATCCTGTCTGGAAAAGAGGGTTTGTGTTAGAATCAGATGATTTCTCCAGTGACCATCCGGCTTTAATATTTTGGATTCTAAGATCTCACCTGACCCTAACCATCACCCTGTGAAGAATGCATGCAGGAACTGTACCCGTTTTATAGCGAGGAAGCCATGGCCCAGTGAGGAGCAGTGACCTGCCCGCCACCATACAACCACGTAGGAGCAAGGTCTGATTCCACCGGCACCCGACGCTCTTCTGAGATCCTCCTCAGACCGGGCAAGCTGAAGCGAAGCAAGGAACATTCGGTCTCACGTCCAGGAAGCAGGCGCTGCAGGGGACGGAAGGGTCGCAGCCCACAGCTGGGTGAGGCCAAGCAGCTGGGCGGAGGCGCCCGAAGCCAGCTCCGGGAGAAGTGGGTGTGTTAGGGGCCGGGCGGGGCCGGGTGAGGGGACGCCCTGAGGAAGGGAAAAGGCAGCTGAGCGAGGGTTGGAGCGCAGAGCGGAGGGGGCGCAGACGGTGCTGGCCGCGGGCTGCGAGCAGGCGGGCTGGCGGAGCGCCTTGGGGCGCAGTGCGGGGCACCCGCGAGCCCAGGGCGAGGTGTCCAACGAACAGACGGCGCCCCTGGGAGCCTTGCCGACCGGCAGGTAAGGCGCACCCGCCAGCTCGGGAAGGCTGAGCCGGCGCCAGGGGTAGAAATGAGGGGTCTATCCGCCTCCCTGGAGGCCGCCACCCGACGCAGATACATACTGATCCTCCCCTGGACAGAGCCACAGGGATCCCGGGGCGCACGTGGGAGCGCGAAGCTGGGCTCCTGGCACGCCTTTCCCGGAAACCGTGGGGGCTTAGGTCGGCACTCACGGGCCCCGGGACGGCGGCACCCAAGCTCCTTCCACATCCACAGATATGCGAGCGCACGATATAACAACCAACCTGCGGCTCCGCAGCGAGAGTACACGCGGAAATGGCGCTCCGGGACCCGGCGTGTCTTCTTGCTAGGCGGGAGCCGCTTGCTCAGCGTGCGAGTTGCCTTGCCCATTCGCTACTTTATTGTGCCCCTCGCCCTATGCGCCACAGTCCTAGGAAAAGCCTAGAAGCTCCCTTAGATGTCTTCTAGTACTAGTAACATAGATCTAGGCTGGGAGTCAGGAGACTTGAGTTCTAGTTTACAGGTTGTGTAAACCTGTGCCAATCGCCCACCTGCTCTGTGCTTTGTGCGTTCTTTTCCTGGGTCACCAAATGTAAAATGAGCCTCCTGGTCCTGTTGCCCATGTACTCCGTATGGCATGTGGGGGAAGGGGACTGGGCCCGGGAGTTTCTTGTGTAGAAGGTACAGGAGTTCAGACCCCTGTGTGAGGGCCCCTTGGAGAGTGTCTCCTCCTAGCCCCCTCCCCACTCCTCAGCAGTTTGCATATGGGGAATCTGAGGCCCAGTGGGGAGATGCTTGTCCAGGGTCACACCAGGGACCAGACAGAAGTAGAACCCAATTCTCCCCACTCCTAGCCCAGGGCTGATTCCACTTCAGCTACAAAAGTGCATTGTAAATATGTTAGCTGCTCTTTATCTCCTGGCATCCAGCCAGTTAACCGCTCTGAATGGAGGAGAGCCAAGCTGGAGGCAAGGAAACTGCTTTCAGATTTTCTTGACTCCTTAAGATGAGAACAAACAACCTTCATCCCTCACTCACTCCACACTTTGCAAAACACACTTCTATCTATAAACTGAATGGGTGGATGCTCAAAATGCCTACTAAGAGGGAGGCAAGACAAGATATCCCATCTTACTGATGGGGAGAATGAGGCCCCAGAGTGGAGAAATGACTTGACCAAGACACACGGCTAGACATGTCTACAAAATAGGGGCAGGTATCTTGACTCCAACTCTGGTGTGTTCTCTATCACCAGCAGGACTACAGAATGGTACCCCTAAATGGAGAGAGATTACAGGGCTGATCAGAGAGGATGAGAAACAAGGAAGGCTTCTGAAGGAGGTAAGTGTGTCTGAGAATGAAGAAAAGTAATAAAGAACCTCCTGGCTTCCTCTGAGGGTAGGAGAACCTAAGATGGGGAGAGGGGACATAGGGATAGCTGTTCTTGGTAATACTGGGGGGTGGCGGAGGAGATAGGGAAACAGAAAAGGAAACAGGTGACCAGGCTGCCCAATAATTCTCTCTTATGTTTACATAATACTTTGCAATTTCTAAAACACCTCTCCCCTTTGGTCTCCCCGAGTTGCGTGTGAGGCAAGCAGGACAGGGGTAATTATCCCCATCTCATAGACGAGATTCAGAGAACATAAATGCAGTGCTCAAGGTCACACAGCCAAGCATACAGCCAAGATTGGAACCATGAAAGGCATACCTGAAAGGCAAGATTAGAGGCTGGGAGACTGGGAGTTGGACTGTGTGTGTGCAGCAGGTGTGTGTGTGTGGCTGCCCCCTGGGTGGGTAGACAGGGAAGAGGGTTGCTAAGCTGCTGCTGGTGTTTTGGGGCCAAGAATGTTTGCCCTTTGGATTGAATGGGGTTCTGGTGCAGGGAACATCTGGGCTTCCAAAGGTGGCTTAGAATTCCTCCTCCCCTGACTCACTTGCCCATCTGACTGAGACGGTGTCTTTTCTTTGAGCTTCCCCTTCCCCAGACCAAATGGAATCTGTTTTGGCCTGCCCTTGAAGTTGCTTTTTAAGTGCTGTAAGCTGTTTTCATGAATGCGTATGTGTGTGCGCAGGGGGGAATAGTCTAATAAGAAGAGACATTTATCCACCTATTCTTGAGTGCCTGCTATAAAGAAATGTATGAGGCACAGGTCCCTACCTTCACACCTCCCAGCGCACAGTTTAGTATATCTATATCTATATCTATTTATATTTATACAGATATACACACCCAATTTCAGTACAGCATACTGCTCTAATAGGGTTTTATGCAAAGCACTTTAGGAACAGACGAGAAGAAGAGACTTAACTGGCTAGGGAGTGGGGAAGGTGGTGTCTCAGGAGAGGGTCTACAGAGGTTATATTGGAGCTCGGTCTTGAAGGATGAGTAGGAGTTCACTAGGCAGATAAAAAAGAGGAAGGGTATTTTTGCCTAAGAAAACAGCATGAGCAAAGGCAAGAGGTGTGCAAGTGCAAGGAATGTTTGGGGAATGGCTATAGCTCAGTATCATGGGACACAGGCAGTGGGGAGAGCTGTGGTGAGATGGGGCTGGAGGCAGGGTCATATCCAAAGGAGCTTGAATGATAATCGCAGGAGGTTAGACTGTCCTATAGGCAACAGAGGACTTATAGTGGAAAGATATGTGGATGAGATACCTGTTTCTGGTCCCAGTTCCTAGGCTGTGAGACCTTGAGCAAGTGATTTCCTCTTGGGGTGGGGTGGTTTTTCCCACTGGTTGAATGAGGGGGTTACACCAATGACGTGATTATTAAGATCCCTTCCAGCTCAGATTCTATTTCTGTGTCTCCTTCTAACTATACGTTAAGGTTCCTCTCCCACCAGCCCATGGTGGTGATAAGACCACCAGAGGGGCCAGAGGCAAAACTGTGCATTCCCAGGAGTTATCTCTGGATCCACTTGCTTTATGTGGCCTTTTTCCCCTGCCTCTCTACCACATTTCCAAGCACTTCAGACACTCATTCTGCAAGAGAAGCTGAAACAGAGCATAGGGAAACCAAAAGAACCGATGGTGGCGTTTCACTTTTCCCCAGAGAAACCTGAAAGAAAACCTTACTAAGATACCCAGTTCATCCTCCAGGTCCCAGCTTTATGCCTCCATCCCCAAGTTAAAGGCCAGGCGAGCTCAAGTCAAGAACAGTTTGGGCAAAGCTATTAATGTGTTGGAAAGAGTGACATCGGGGTGTGGAGGAAGAGAGTGCACCTGGCTTATATAGAAGAGCAGGAGTAGGTCTGGAGCAGAAAGGGCCATGGGGAGCAAGGCTAGAAAGGAAGGTTAACTCCTCCAAAAGTTACCAACTTCTCCCCTTACTGGATCCTCAGTTAAGATTGGCAAGAGCGACTTTCCTGGCCGTCCAGTGGTTAAGACTCCGCACTTCCAATCCAGGGGGTGCGGGTTTGATCGCTGGTCAGGGAACTAAGATCCCACATGCCAGTGGTGTGGCCAAAAAAAAAAAAGATTAGCAAGAATCTGTAGTGCAGGAAAAAGGAGTAGTGGTGGACTTAGAGGAGATGATGCCCCAGGACATGAGGAGCCTGTGTTTGGTGTGAAATGCAGCTCAGATGCCAGAAGACATTGCTATTTGTAGCGGAAAGAGCACCTGAACAGCACCCCAAAGACCTGGGTTCTCATCAGAGCTCTACCATTTACTAGCCATGTCATTTTGGACTAGTCACTTCCCCTCTCTGACCTTCAGCTTTCTCAACTACAAAATGGAGGGGTTGGCCTAGAATCTAGATTCTAAACGATCTTCAAAATCTCTTTTCAGTCACTGTTCATCTCCCTTCCTAAATGATTATCTCTTGTTTCAAGTCAGGGACTCTCCACGGCAGGAGCTCTGTCTTCCCCATCCATAGACCTTCACAATCGGCAACTGTCTTGAAGAGGGAAGCCAAGGAGCTCAGAAAGAGGAACAAAATTCCCCACATTGCCAGCTGCCAATTCCCAACTTGGGACCCAGAGGCAGGTCATAGAGAACCAAGCTGTCCCTTCATGAGCTCTCTGCCTCTCCTTGCACACAGGTCCTCCATCCCACCTCAACCCAGCTTCTAAAGATATGCAACTGTGGCTCCTTTGCATGTTCCATCAGAACTACAAATATCCATCCAGGTCTATCCAGAGAGGCACTGGAAGGAGGGTGTGAGGAATAAATGGTTGTGTGAACCTTTACTCCCCTCACTGAACTCCACCTCAGATCCCACCCTGTCCCCGACGCTTTCCCCCTACCCCCACTTTCTAACACAGAGTCTGTCTCCCCCAGGCTAGATCACCCTGGCAGGTGAGCTATAAAGAGGAAAAATGAACAAGTCAGCAAATTTGGCCTTCAGTTTATCTAGGCTGGAATACTAAGTGTAACTCAGTCCTGGGACTCTCAAGCATCTTAACCTGTGAGGAAAGAATCTGAAGTCTTCTCTATCTCGTGATTTAAGGGACTCTAGAGAGTCCCCCAAATCCTCTCCCGCCAGCCTACCCAATCTCCCAAATCTCACGTATGGTTTTGTGGTATCTTCATGTTAGAGCTGATCAGGACCTTATACGATTACATAGAAAAACCCTTTGATTTTACAGATGCAGACAGAAGCTGGGGCCCAGAAAAGGGAAGTCACATGCCCAAAGTCACACAGGTAGCAGCTGAACCAAGACAGCTCTTTGGTTTTCATTTCTTTCACTGTAAAATGAGGGAGGTTAGATTAGATGGACTCTGAAGGCCTTGCCAGCCTCTGCTCTGCACAAATAAAACCACCACCACATCTGTGGAGCGTCTAGTGCCAGGCACTGCATACTTTTCTTCTTTAATTTTCACAACAAAGCTATGGTACAGATAGTGTTGATGCCATGCCTATGTTTATACCCAGTCTATCCAAATAGGTTGATTGGTAACATCATTCGTTCCTACATAAAATAGCAACCCAATTGCTGGCTGCCATTCTGCCACTCACATCATTTCCTTGGGTCTCAGGCCCTTTCAGCCTTTTAGAGGCTCCTGCTAAGATGCCAGTACCCTGGGGAAAGGGGATGTTTTAGACTGCACTGTTAGCTGATCCCTGAGCAGCAGCTCATGTGTTGAACTGAGGTTTCTCATGAAGTCACCCAGATGAGACATTGTGAATCTGGAGTCGGGGGACAGCAATCAGATGTCCCTTGGCCATGGCACAGCTCCTATAACTGCAACCCTAGGTTGGCCTGATCCAGCTGCTGCAGGAAGGGGAGGGGAAGCGGCAGGGTGTCAGCACCCAAAGCACAGCTATTGCACAACCCTTGGGGCTTGGCCTTGGGCGATCCACCCTCGTTCTGAAGTTTTTTCTGTGTGTCTAGTTCCTTCTTTTTCTGTCCCCTCCCCACCCAGCTCTGGGCCTTCCCAGCTCCCAAAGTCAATATTGAGACCCCAGATGTGTCCAGGGACATCCTGAAGACATGTCAGGACATCCTGAGGGGCTGAGGAGCCTTAGGGCACCCACAGGGAGATTCCTGGAGCTGACTAGGAGCCAGTGAATTTGCTGTTGTTTGGTGAGTCTTCCAGATGGAGGTGGCCCTCCGTCTGCCTTGTCAGTTCAAACCCCCATGCAAGGCTATCGAAGAAAACTGGTGACAGTGACTGCCCTGGGAAAGAAACCTGGGCCATTGGGAACAGAGAGACTGCATTTTCATTGTACGTACTGCTTCAATTTCTTTTTTTTTGCTGTGTGTATGTATTTACTTCTCAAAAATGAAAAACAGATTTTCATTTTAATGAAAACTGTGTTTTTTATTAAAATGTATTTTAAAAATCCTCTTCACTATAATAAAAGTATATGCTCAAGCAAGCCTGGGGCAGGGGGCAGAGCAGAGATAATAATCTTTTTTTTTTCCTTTTTAATTAAAAAAATTTTTTTTTAATTTTAATGTGGTAAAAAGCAACATAAAATTTATTGTCTTAACATTTTTAATGGTACATCTCAGTAGTGTTAGCTATCTTTACATTGTTATGCAGCAGATCTCTAGAAGTTTTTCATCTTGCAAAACTGAAACTCTGTACCCACTGAACAACAACTCCTGGTGATAATCTTTTTTGATAGATGAGGAAATTGAAGTGCAAACAGGGCAAGAAACTTATTTCCCTCAAAGTGAGCTCTTCCTGCACTTATGCCATCTGTCTGTTGTCTGCTTATAAAACTGTCTGAGGCCCCTTCCTCCTGCAACCACTGCCTTAGCCATTCCCACCCCCAAATGCCTCTCACATCCTCTATCTGTCCCCGCCCCCACCTTGTCATTCCCTCTGCCCCAGCTCAGGACTCAGCACCTTGAACCCACACTATTTCACTTATCACTGGGCTCCCTGCCTCCATCCCTGCCCTCTTTACTCCACACTCCACATAGAAGCCAGAGTGTCCTTTCCAAGCACAGATCTGATTATTTTACCCCCTTTTAAAATATCATTCCATGGTTTTTCTCCACCTACAGGATAAAGTTCCAACTCTGCAGCCTGGCACTGAAGGCCCTCTATGATTTGGTTTGGGCCAATGTCTCCATCCCACATCCTATCTTATCCTTTCACGCATCTTACACTCTTTATGCTACTTTCCATTCTTCAAAGTGTGCTTTCTAGTCCATCTCTTTGCTTCCCTTGCCTTCTCTACTTCCAAAAAATCCTTCAAGGTCCAACTCAAATTCTTCCATCACTGTGAACACTCTCTGAGCACTGGTCAGAATTCATCCCTTCTTCCTTTAAGCCCCAGTAGCTCCTACATTGTCTCCCACATTAAGAGCTGGCTTTGTGCCCCTGAGTATAGGGACTGGCCTCCTAAAGCTCCCAGAATAAGGCTGCCCAGGAGTGGGCCTCCATAAACAATGACTGGCCAGGTGATTCACTGAGCCATTAATTTCATTGTGCTGCTCCTGCTTTCCATTAGCCCATATGAGGAAAGAGGAAGGCACATTTATATGCCATGTACACAGTGATGTTGTTTTCCCACTTGTTGCCTGACAAGTGGGATAGTAGATGAGAACCTATGCCTCCTCGATCTTAACTCTTCCCCTTTTCCATCCAGACAAGGTTGCCCGAGTGCTAGATGGCAGGGGGCCCCAAGGCCTTGCATAAATTGTGGGCCAGTCCTGGATTATTGCTGTATTATTTTGATTCTTCCCCCCAAATTCTGCATTCATAGAGTTCTTCATGAATATTTATCATGGTCATAACTAACTGTCATCTTTTCCGGGGAAGAGACGTGATGGTTAATAGTCAAGTTAAACAGCTCTACCTAGATAAAGGAGGGCTTTGGAACCAGTCAGTGAACACTGAGTGCCTGGCCTATAGAGAAATCCAAAGTGGCCATCTTTACTGGAGACCACTGAGGGAAGGAGAACTACGGTAGTCCCCTAGACTTGGAGGAGAGACACAGCCTTTCTGACCAGGAGCATGTGGTCTGCTGATAACCCTTATCAATAGCAAGAGGACAGCCACACATTGCCTTATATGTAAGTGCTGGGGCAAAGGGAAGGCTGTGATGATAAAGCTTGTGGAGTATGTTGGGAGCACACAAAGGCTTCCTGAAGGAAGTGAGCATGGAGCCTTGTTTAAAGGAATGACATATGTTTTTCCAGAGACTAGGATACAAGGCTGCCTTTGGCTATTTTTCTACATTGTAGACTAAGGATCTCTGAGAGGAAGGAAAAGGAACATCTGCTATCACCAGTTATATGCCATGTACACAGTGACATTGTTTTGGAAGGCAGGATAGTTGAGGTGCTAGTGTCTTTTCTCTCTGGGGTGGGTATAACCCCAAACTGGACTGAGTATTCCTTTCACTCCAAAGCCCTCAGGCCCAGTGCCTGCAGTGGTTATCAGCCTTTGCCTGCTCCCCCAGCCACCTCTTTTCCAACAGAATTTCTCCTCAATAGCTAGGAATACCTAGAGTGGGACCTAGGATGCTTTAGAGGTCAAATGACCCAGGTAGGGGGAAATCTAAGCCAACCCCAAACATCTTCTACATGGTGTCTGTGGAGCATAAGAAAGAACTGTGCTGAGGGAGAGTTCTGAGGAATGTCTTCTAACTGTGCCACACAGTCCTCCCCAGAGCTGGTGTGGAGGCCAGAGGAGCTCTGAGCTGGCCATCAAAGAGCAGGGCTGTACCTCGGCTCTACCTCCAGTATTCTCTGTGATCATGGACAAGCCAACTATTCTCTCTGGGCCTGTGTGTAAAATGGAAGAAATTACAGTAAATAATCCCTAAGGCCCTTCTAGCCTAAAGCTCAGTGACTTTTAGAACCCAAAGAAAGGATAGATCAGCATGCTTACAATGGTCAAGGAAGACTTCCTTCCACAAGTATTTATTGAGCACCTACTGAGTGCTGTCATAAGTGCTCATACATAGCAGTGAATAAAACAGACACATTCCCTGCCTTCCTTGGGCTGGCAGTCTAGTGGAGAAGACAGACAAGCAAACAAGTAGTTAGAATAAATTGTGATGTTGGGATTTTAGCTGGGGTCTGAAAAAGTGGGAAGGTCATTCAATCTACAAGTAACAGAAGCCATCCTCTCTCTTTTCTGTCACTACCAGAGCATCCTCCGATTCTTCCCCCACCTGAATCCCTGTTGCTATGGAGACCACCAATGGGACTGAGACCTGGTATGAGAGCCTGCACACTGTGTTGAAGGCTCTAAATGCTACTCTTCACAGCAACTTGCTGTGCCGGCCAGGGTCAGACAACCTGACTGAGGAGAGGCGGGCCAGCCTACCTGGCCGCGATGACAACTCCTACATGTACATTCTCTTCGTCATGTTCCTATTTGCTGCCACTGTGGGCAGCCTCATCCTTGGATACACCCGCTCCCGCAAAGTGGATAAGCGCAGTGACCCCTATCATGTATACATCAAGAACCGTGTGTCTATGCTCTAATGCTAAGAGGCCGGGGATGGCAGAAGATCAAGATTCCTGAGGATTATCTTGTGGGGCCTCCAGAACTCAGCTATGTGTTACATCAGGCCTCAGTGTTCTAATCTGTAAGATCAACAAGAAACAGTACTAAGGGAGGTCATCATTGGGGAAGGAGGAGAGGATCTAGCAGACCTAGGCCTTGTGGATAAGGATTTTTTCCAGCAAAGATAGACGTTATAGACGGTAGGAGCCCTTTGAACAAATATATAAAAGTGGCAGGAATTCCCTGGTGGTCCAGTGGTTAGGACTCTGTGCTCTCACTGCCAAGGGCCTGGGTTCAATCCCTGGTCGGGGAACTGAAATCCCACAAGCCGTTCAGTGTGGCAAAAAAAAAAAAAAATATATATATATATATATATATATATATATATATACACACACACACACACACACACATACAGACACATACACATATATATATGTATATATATATATAAGTGGCAACATATAATGATAAATGAGTGTTCTAGTGGCAGGAGTGTTGGGGGCTAGGGGCTAGAGGAAGGAAAAGAGGAAGTTGTAGCAGAGGGAAATGAGACAGGAAAATGCCCTGAGGACACATTTTTTGATGTGTTATCTTCAATGACCATGAGAAGCAGCAATGATTATCTCATATCACAGACAGGAAATCTAAGTTATGTTACTTATTTATATTTTTTCACATTTTATGTTTTTCAGCCCATTTAACATTTGTGATTTTACCCCCTGTGAGGGAAGCAGAGCAAGTGCCATTCTGCCCATTTGGGCCAAAGCAGTACCATGACTGGAACCCAGGTTCTCTGGTCACCTTGCCTAGTGCTTTGCAAAACTGTGTGCTACCTAGGAGTGGATCTAGGCCTGAAACTTATGTAATTCTGGGGGGCCCTCCTTAAGAAAAAGAATTTTAAAATATCTTATTTTTGCAAGTATTACAAAAACATATCACCATGGTAATACATTGTTGGGGCCCCTCCTAAGATCTTAAGAAGGAGCCATGCAAGTACAGAGCCCTGACTGTTAAGCCTCATTAGCTCCATTGTCCCTGTGCCCCTCCACCAATGTCCCAGTGCCTTTCCCAGCCCCATCTCCAGTCCTGGGGACTTCAGTACCTCTAAGGCAGCCTTAGAGTTCATTCATTTTGAATGAATTCTAGAGTGAGTAATTTTCTGATATCAAGTTGAAATCTGCTTCTAGAAGATTATTATCGCACCTAGAAGATTACCATATTAAAAGAGGCAGGTACCTGATTCAGTGGAAAGAGAACCAGCCCTGATTCTACTACCAGTGTGGTATATAAACTGGCTAGACACTTCCCTCTCTGACTCTTGTCCTTCTTCAGCACCGTGAAATAGAAAGTTGAAATAGTTGAAAGTCTCTAAGGGCTCTACCAGATCTGATATTCTAGGCTTCACATACATTGATTTGAACCACATAAAACTGCTGTGCTTGTAGGCCAAAAACAGCTGAATATCAGTAGTTTCACATGCTTCAGCTGAAGACATGAAATGTGGCCAGCTACAAATCCCAGGCTGGAACCTCCCACTGTTCTGTTTAATTTCTGTTATTAAGGAATCTCCATGGGGTCTCCAGAAAGCCCTATCAAAACACACATATTTGTGTATATCAAAAACTTTGAAAGCATATTTTGAGAGCACTTATCTCTGAAGAGAAGGATTATGGGTGATTTTCCCTTTCTACTTTAAAAATTTATGTAATATTTGATTTATTTGACCGTAAGTATGTTTCTTATATAATAGGGCGGGGGGGAGCTACTTCTACTTTGAAAAAATGAAAATAAACACCTGTGTGTTACTTGAATGGAGGATCACAGAACACATTTGCTCCCATGAGCAGTTAGTCATGTTGATTCCATGCAAATCAGTGCTGAGCCCCACGTGTGCTCTCAAGCCTTTCCTCATATCTTCTTGAGAGAGAAGGTGGAGACCTGCTTAAGAAGACGTGACATATAGGTGGACAACGGACTCGGAAGTCTACAGCTGGATGGCACTTTGGAGACCGCCCAGCCCAAACACCCAAATAAAATATGGAATCCCAACAAGAATAAGAATGAATGTCAGGTAATGGGTGCTATCAGAATTTTGAGAAATGAGATTGAGTGGATGCAGAGGAGCCAGAGAAAGGTAGAATTTGAACTGGGCTTTGAGAGATAGGACAGATCTACGTGGGCAGAGAGAATGAATGGAACAAGACAAGGGAAGCTTGGAGGCAGAAATGTGGCCAGACCACCCTCCTGAAGAGAGCAGGTCGGCAGCTGGATGGAGCAGGAAGCACCCCAGAGTGGCTGCGCTGGGAGTTCAGTGTCCCCATCTATGGGGGAGACTCCCCTTCACACAGTCCTTATACTCACAGGGCTTAAAAATAGAGTAATACAAATTCTTTTGCTTGTAAGTTACAGAAATCCAGTGTGTATTAGCATAAGCACAAAAGGGGATTTATTGAGAGGAGTATGTGGTAGTTCAAAAGAGGAGCTACCAGGGGCTTCCCTGGTGGCGCAGTGGTTGGAAGAGCCCACATGCCGTGGAGCAGCTGGGTCTGTGAGCCATGGCCGCTGAGCCTGCACATCCGGAGCCTGTGCTCCGCAACGGGAGAGGCCACAACAGTGAGAGGCCCGCGTACTGCAAAAAAAAAAAAAAAAAAAAAAAAAAAAACCAAAGAGGAGCTACTGGGGCAACTCTAGGGATCTTGGGGCCTGGAACTACTTATTTGTCTTAATTTACAAAGTAGGGGCTCAGTATACCTCATTATGTACACTCAACGTTGGGCTAAATAAAAATATAAGATTTTAAGGTATAATTTAAACATTCTAATATTTTATGATGTAGGTACTCCCCTTGGCTCTCCCCCCAGCTCTATCCCACTGCCTCCTTCAGCCCATAGGCTCTTTTGGCTGCACTGGTTCTGCCCTCTGCTGGCCAGATCCCAGCACATCACCTTGGGCCCTCAAAGCAAAACTTCAATAATCACTCATTCAGACGCTGAGTGCCTACTATGTGCCATGCACTCATCTAGGCACACTTGGAATACATAAACAAATGAAAAAGATCAAAGAAATCCCTGCCTTAATACTTAAAAGCACTTAATACTTAAGATACTACATGTCAGGCTATGGCCTAAGCATTTTACAGACATTAGCTCATTTAGATTTTAAAACCTTCGTAACATCCCTATGTAGCAGGTATTCCTTACAGCTACTTCAGTAGAGCCCACTTGTTCTTCACGTAGCTCCTTCCTCACTCTCAACCCAATTTCAGCACCATGGCATACCCAGCCCAGACCATGGGTCTGAACGGTCCCCGGAGATGATTTGGGAAGATGACGGCGGAGTATTGACATCAGTAGACTGAAGTTGGGTTCCCTAGAAGCAAAGTCTGAGACAGGCATTTATTGAGGGAGCACTTTTTGGGGGAAACGTGCAAGGGAAAGAGTGAAGTAGATAGAAAAGGGAACAAGACAAACAAGGTACATGTCAGGTCACATCTAGCCCTGGCCTGATCCACAGGGAACTGGGGCATAAACCACAAGGCAGACTTACACCCCCTTGAGGCAAAGGGGCCGGGCTTTTATGCCCCATATCAGTCAGTCATTGCTTGTGGGCCACCCTGGTGGGGAGGGGGAAGAGAGGAGGGTTGTGAGGAGGTGCCCATCAGCTGAGGGCAGGTCTCTGGAGAAGGGTGGCACCTGTGAGCAATTGCAGCCTAGACCAGTTGTCTTGGTTGGAGATCTGCAACAGCCTAGTTCCTCAGGAAGGTTCTGAAGCTCAGTTTTCATCACAGGATCAGCCCCATCTTTAGTGACTATCCTTTTCTACCCTGTGTCACCACTGACTGCTGGCTGCTAGAGGGGGGCATGTAACCTCCCACGGGTGCTCACGTTTGGCTGAGCTGGAGAAAGCAGCAGCTCTGAGGTGACAGCAGCCAACACTCACAGCAGCTGGGGAAGGGGCCACACGGGGGCTCCGTCAGCATCCACAACAGCTGTGCTATTGGGGAAATGGGAGCAGAAGCAGAGTGTCACATCTTGTGATCTCCTTCTAGCTTAAGAGCCGAGAAGCACACACTAAATAAAGAAAACAAGATTACACCAAAAAGAACCCAATAGGAAACAATACACTTAAGTACAGAAAATGTGGGGAACCAATATTAAATGTGATGGTCAAGAAGAGGGAGAGGGATGTATTCATGGATGTTTCCTGGAGATGTGAGGTAGGATTTGATTAGGTGGTCCAGTGTAGTATGGTCCAAGGCAGCATTCCAAGTAGGTGGATGGCTCTGCTCTACTCATTCAGGGACCTGGGATTATGACAGCCATCCTCAACGTGTAGCTTCCAAGTTTACTCTGGTTGAAGCATTTCTAGTTAGTGAGGAGAGAGAAAGAACAGAATTCCAGAGCCTGAGATTTGCTCTTAAGCAAGCAAGGCAAAAGCTGCATACATCCCATCTTCCCACATCTATTGACAAGGGTTCAGTAACATGGCCACAGCTGGCTGCAAGCAGCCAAACCTCAATTACTAAGGAAGAAAGAATGGATTTTGTGGACAGCTAGTGGTCTTCACTCTACCCTCCTCACTTTCCCCAGGACGGGTCATGATAAAAAAAAAATGTAGAGTCCTGGGAATTCCCTAGTGGTCCAGAGGTTAGGACTCTGTGCTTTCACTGCTGAGGGCGCAGGTTCAATCCCTGGTCAGGGAACTAAGATCCCACAAGCCGTGTGGTGTGGCCAAAAAAAAAAAAGAGTAGAGTCCTGCCAAGAGGAAGAAGTGCTATTATTCTGATTCAGTCATGTTTTCTGAGGGGTGCAGGCGGGAGCCTTGCAGGTCTAACTAAGCCTGTCCTGGGAATGTGACTTTTGCTCTTTTATTTTATTTTTTTTCTGGCACTGGTGAGTCTGGTCTCTCCTCTCATTGGAGTGGTAATATCCAAGATATTTGTTTAGGCAAAGGGGAAACAGACAAAGCAAGTCTTTCAGCCAGCTTTGTGTAGGAAAAAGAATCCTCTTTCACGTGCCACTAGGAAACCAAGAACATGATCTGCCTGGATGAAATCAGAGAACCCATCTATGGTTAAACTGTGACAGAATGAGGTCTAGGAGCAGGAGAGAAGGAAATTAGTGAACAGGAAAGAAAGGGAAGAAAAATTACTATTTGATGACCAACCAATCTCTGCCAGGCACTGTGCTGGGAAGCTCTAGAGGTAATTACCTTTTTAACCTCATTTCATAGATGAAGTAACAGAAGCTCAGAGGTGAAATCGCTTGTTTAACATTCACTTAATATGTAGCACTGTCTAGATTTTAACACA